CGGCTCCTGGTGCGATCTCCGAAAGAGCTTCATGTAACAGACATGGAGGTGCCGACCTCAGATTTTTGCAGGTGGCAATGCTCGGTGGACGTCAGCTCCCTGCCGCTGCGTTGAGCCTGGACTCAAAACCCCAAAACCCTAAAACCATGAACCCCTAAACTCTCAAACCCCAAAACCCTAAAACCATGAACCTTTAAACTCCCTAACCCCAAAACCCTACAAGGCCCTCAAAAAGATCAAAGGCAGCGGCCGTGGAGCAGATCGCGGCCTGGCAGGCTGCCGGCCTGCGATCCGTCCACATCGTCGGACAGGGCCTCGGCTGCTCGAATTCTGCCTTCGTTCTGTCCCAAACTTGAGGATTTAAGGTTTGGGGTTTAGGGTTTGGGGTTCAGGGATTACGGGACTCCAAACCCTAAAACCCAAACCCTGAGTCCTAAGCCGCCCCCCCCAAGAGGCCGCCGAGGGTTTGTCCAAGCGGCCTTTACCAACGCCGAGCTGCGAGAGCTGCTGACGTGCAGCGAGGAGGCGCGAGACCACTTCACTGATACAGTTGCATCAGGCGTTATCGCCTTAGTAGGGGTATTCTTCTTCTGTTCTTCCCTAAGGCAATAGGCAATGTTCCGGCGTCTAACAAACTTTAGGGGCGCTGAGCACAGATTGGATGGGGCTGAACCCAGCATCTTGGGTCAATCTGATCGTCATGAAAGAAGGATCCACGGTAAAACATGGACCTTAATTTCTGCACTAGTTTGTTTGAGCACCTGTTACTGCAAGGCGGGTTTTACCGAACCTACACCGTGTTTACCCTTAAGCTTCCAAGGTGGGCAGAAAAAAAGCCATTGGATTCTAGGATGCTCAGTGTCATGTCCCTAAAGAAAATACAGCTTAAACGTAAAACATGAGGTACCCTAGTAATTGAGGCATAAGTATTCAATGTTCAATGCGGCCAAATCTTTTAAGTCTTTTCAGGATCAGTGGTGACCCTGGGTTAATTTGTGCAGCTCTAAAGCTCCCACTCGGCTTCTTTTGATACTTTAGCCGGGACCTGTGCCCACGTGAGATGCGCGAAAGCTGTGTTGTTTCTGCAGCAGGATCTTGTCTTTGTCCATGCATCGAAGCCCGCTCTGGTTCCAAGTTGCTGTGAACAGTTAGAGTCAGAGCATCTCAACAACGCAAGTCTGCAGGTGGGGTTTATGCTGGCAGATACAACGACAAGCATGCACTTGGCTGGTACATCGTTGATGTTCAGCACAGCATCGCGCATATTGTAGGCTATAAAACAAGGTAGTGTTGGCGCATCCAGGCGCATGGTTCAAGCTGCCATGTTGGCCACCGATGCAAGCACTCTGCTACCAAAAGCACAGGCTTTGATGTCCCAACTGCAGGCAAACAACATGGAGCTGAAGAAGGAGATAAAGCGCTTCAAGACGCTGAACGCGGTGTTGCAGCAGGCAATCGACAGCCAGCTGCAAAAACTCCCGGAGCTCCAGTTCGCCGGTTCCACTGCAGACCCGGCAACGCGTCTGGCTCAAGCTTGCGGCGCTCTGAAGACCAGAGCCCAAGAGCTTGAGCATCAGATTGACGAGAAGCGTCAGCGAAAGCTGCGGATGCAGCGGGAGCTGGAGGAGAGAAAGGCCAAGCTGAAGTCGATTTCCTTGTCCACCAGTTGAACGGCAGCCCACTGAAGCTTTCGCCTTCGTCAGGAACGGGCAGTGGTATCAGCAACATCAGTCGCAAAGAAGCAGCGCTGCTTCTGCAACAAGACCTGTTCCGGAAGAGATTCCTACTGAGACGCGACTACAAAGGACCCAGTGGCTGATTCGTTTCCAGACGGTGCAGCTGGTTCATGAATGTCAGACTTGCCATTGGCTTCCTGAAAACACTGCTCTTTGCACGTGCTCTTCGATGAAACGACAGAGTGGCACCCATGCCAGGACTGACAGCTGTGCAGGCATCATATCCAAGACTGCAGCTGCAGAAATGAAAGAGGTAGCCCTCCAACACCCGCCAAAAGACCAACCCCAAACCCTGAACCCTTCCTGTAGGCTCTCCGACTCTTTGCGGGGACGGAAAAAGGCCCTCGAAAAAAAAACAACCTACCTTTATCAAAACCCGCAGAGAACCCTTGTAAAGGCCCTCAGACAACCCTTCAAAAGCCCCCCCACTGCCGGGAGGTTTTGCCTATCATCGACCCCGAGGAGCTCCAGCGCCTCGGCTCATGGGCGCGAGTTCTGCAAACGAAGCGTTAGAGTTGCTTGTTTTTTAATTATTATGTGGGGAGTTACTAGTAATCATTATTTTATTTCTTTTGTTTTTTTGGGGGGGCGGGGGGGGGGGTGGAGAGAGTTTTTGTTGGGGGGCCCGTCCGACCACCCGGATCGTCAACGGTTTGGGTCTTTTCGAAGGTCCACCCGGGGTAGGCACGGTGAGTCTTATCCTGTCCGAGAGCGGGGTTCGAGCCCGGAGACATCGGATACCGACAGCATCCTCCCCCCACTGCTCCATACCGGAACTCGGGGTGGCCGCCATAAGGTTCTATAAGGCTGCTGTAAAGGTTCTACAAGGCTTCTATGAGCATTTGGGCTTTTTTCAGGGGTGTTGCCTATGGAGTTTTTTGGGGCTGTGCTGGCAACAAGGAGATTTCCTTTGCAGCAGGTTGAGGTTCTGGTGGTAGGGTTTTTTTAGAAGAGCCATGCTTAGCACTGATAATCGAACTGTTACATGGATCCCTGAGCCTTTTACTTTCCGGTTTAAACTGTCTGAATCTAGTTTCAGCACTCAGGTGAAGTGACAGTGCTGCATGCTCTACCTGCAAAATACGACGCAGGAACCCAGAAACAGTGTCTACAATTGAGTGAGATCCCGAAACAGAGACTAATCCTAAGTTTACAGGGGGTTTTCGTCCTGGTCTTTCTTCAGGGAGGTTGAGCATATCGCTACTCCACGGGAAGGTGGGCACTCCCATCCCTGTCGAAATTCGCTGAAGACTTCCGAGGGCTGCATACCCTAAGCTTCCAAAATGGGGGAGGGGAATGCAGCGGGGAATGCTGCTGAGGATGTGCCGCAATCCGGCTTCCGAGGAGGAGTGCGGAAGTCAGTGCATGTGGATTTAGGGTTTAGGTTTAGGCACACCGGGCTGAGGAGAAGAAGGGCGTAGCATTTGGCAGTATCGGTAGAACTTGTAACAGTGGTGGCGAGAGCGGCAGCTGCAGCGGCAGCGGCCACTGCAGCAGCAGCTGCAGCAGCAGATGTATGTAGCAGGAGCAGGAGCAGGAGCAATTGTTTTTGTAGCAGGAGCAATCGTAGCAGTAGCAGTAGCGGCAGTTTTTTTTTGAGTTTTGGGGAGAATGCGGCGAGAGCAAATGGCATCATACATAACCCAGACCGCTCCCTCCTAACCCTGAAACTTCAAAACCCCTACCAGAAACCTGGAACAGGCTGTCACTCCCGAATTTTTTGTCAGTTATCTCTACAGTTCGAAGGGTCGGTTTAGGTTGCTGTTATTACATTGCTACTGTTGTTACAATTACTAGCATTGCTACCACTACTACGGTTAGTACTACTATGACAGTTATGGCGATAGTAACTACACGTGTGTTCGAAGAAACAGCGTTACTTGTTGTATGTTCGTTTATACTTTCAGTAGGCATGTGAATCTTATCACGCCCATAGCAATGGCTCTGGCACTCAGGTTTTTCTCGAAAGGTTTCGACCGATGTCAGAGATCCAAGACGGTATAACAAGAGTGCCAGAGTGATAGAGCATTGTTGGCCTATCACATTCGCGGACATGATTTGTCCTGCAGGGCCAGATTCAACGAACACTTCCAATAAATTCGCCATTGCGACCTTGTTCGCGCTGTTTTATGTGTATGGAGACTTGTTCAGCGCTGTCTTTAAAGTCGGTGTTCGTGCAGTTGCGTGCCTGCGAACACGTGTGCTGCATCATCTTTGAAGTTGGGGTTTGCGCTGTTTTGTGCCTACGAAAACGTGTCTTGCAATGTCCTTCCAGCTGGTAGCAGCAGCAGCAGCAATAGCAGTCGTGACAGTAGTGGTTCTAGTGGCTGTAGTAGAACTTGTACAGGCATTGATGATTTCGAAGATGACAGTGATGGTGAGTGATGGTGATGAATTTAGCGGTGGCCGCAGCACTGACGCCTTCAAGCCGTGACAGGAGCTCTCCAAGAGCCGCATGAAGAAGCGATCTCTGGAGCTCTGGGTCAGGGGGGGGGGGCGGAGCTCACTGGGAGAGTTTTCGACAGATCTCCGTGCAAAGGATCGGTTACAGCTGTCCGCATTGGCTTAGGGCGTAGGAGTTTCGGGTGCGGAAGGAGATCTTGGATAAGATGGCCGCCAACTTCGAGCATCGACTGGAGCCTGGATCCGCACACTCTCTAGAGCCTGGAGTCTGAGTGAGACAAGAGCATGAGTAGCCCTCTGAGGCTTGACCACTAGCAAGCGCCTACTGCAGATCCACTTCCTTCGATCACCAGTCCAGGCTCGGTTTTCAGATCGCCTTGCACTGCTGACGCGACGCTTCCGCAGCGATGTGCAGGTCTTGTCAGAGTCCGGCGCGCTCAGAGCTCTCCGGTTGGGCCGCACAGCGCTGCAAGGAGAGCCGAGCTGATCACTAAACACACCGTTCTGAATTCTTGTGTTGAGTCCCATGGCCACCCCGGCACTGCTACGGAAGACTCCATGTTTCCCTAGGGCTTGCCAGGTCGGGGCATAGCCGAGAGGAGGGCCACATAAATGTTACGACCCTGAGAGCATGCATGAATACATGTGGAAGTGTCTTAGAAAGGGTTTCTGCCTAGGACCGCTTGCAATAAGAATCAAACGATTCACGATCGACCTCCTCTGACCTGGTGACGCGGCTCCGGGGAGGGAGTTTGAGTTTTGACATCGGAAAAACTCGTGACCTACGAAATCCTAGCACCAGCATGAACAGACGTACCATGCTTCGTGGAGGGCCAAGAGGGTTTAGGGCTTAGGGAAGATGAGGGGGGTTCGTGTAGGGGAGATGACGCGCCCGGACCATACTGGACATGACGTGGCAGAAGCGATGAAGCTGTGAATCAAATTGAAGGTGCACCACTGACAGTGCGTTGAATGGCAAACGGCTGAATGTGTTGCGGTCGAGTGCGGCGATCTTGATGCTAGTGCGCCGCACCACCACTGCAGCAGGCTATCAGACAGCAGGGATCCTAACACGAATCGGGGGTGATCTGCATTGCACAGGGTTTGCGTTTAGACCCGACCAATGGCTTGAACCAGCTTGACGGCTGTGGGCTCTCTGAGCTGATCGGAAGTCTTGAGTCAGAGCCGCTCGAAGTTCGAAGTCCAGTGCGGCCCGTCGCAGTGTTCCCGGGTGCTTTGCAAGGAGAGCCTGGAAAGCAGGTAGGGGCGGATCTTTCTCTCCAACCTTTTGCTTTTGCTGCTGGTGTCTCTTGCACCTGCAGGTGGCGGTGCCAAGCGACCTGCCAGCCCTGGATCTGGTGGGGTCTCTGGCTGTGAGCTTTCTCCCGACTGCATGTCTCAATCTTCGTCCGTTCTAAGAGGAATGTGGCCTGGTCGTTCGGAGTGTGGGCTTTGACATCCTGCCTTTCCAGGCGGGGCATGTTTCCTCAGAAGTGGGAGTTGCCGTCCAGATGGCGAAGTGGCCTTGCAGGGGCTCCCACTGAGCGACCGCAACAGAGTTCCGCACGTCAACGGCTGCGTCCGCTCTTCGGGTCGTTCCAGGTCTCTCAAGCAGCGAGCCACAGACCGCCAAGGTTGAGCCGCCTTCAGAAAACCTGGGCGGACTCTACGTCTCGGGATGGGTCAAGCGTGGACCCCAAGGTTCGCTGTGGAGACCTGTTTCCTTGGTATATGCCGGTATCTGGTAGACAGTCCGTCTTTGCCGAAGGGCGGGCCTGTGACACTGTGAAGTATGCCACTCCAATCTCGCCTGCCAGGTATCATTGCATCAAACATCGGTGATGCCCAGGACTTTTCCCTGCTGGCAGACCCTGGCTCCGCAAATCGAAACCACTCGACACATTCAACAAAGCATGCAAGGAGACAGCGGCGAAGGTAGTCATGGACACCCAGGGCAAGCCAGCGAAGGCAGGGCATTCTTAGCTGATAAATGGATTTTGCAGCTCCTGGAAGTGACCTAAGAATCAACATGCGTGGGTGACCGCAAAGGCACATCTGCCATGGCTTTTTCAGAAGTTTGAGCCAGCAGGGCCTCTTGTAATTCGTGGCAGCAGCCTGGAGAGGCCTGGTCGACGGATCCCGTGTTGGAAGCCCTGACAGAGTCAGGCGAGGGGCTCTTCTTCTTGCGAGAAGAGACTTGTATCGAGGCGGTCCTTTTTTTCCCTGAGAGGAAGCCGCGTCGTAGAGTTCCGGGACTGGCAGACTCTCGAGGCCGAGGACAGCATACACATCACTAATAATAATAATAGTAATAGTAATAGTAATAGTAATAGTAATAGTAGTAGTAGTAGTAGTAGTAGTAGTAGTAGTAATAATAATAATAATAAATAATAAATAATAAATAAATAAATAAATATATATATAAATATATATGGGCTTTTGTTGGCCGCGGGTGCTGATGTGAGCAGCAAAGCTGTGCATTACCAGGAGCTGCGACGTGGACAGGAGACGGGAAAGGCAGCTGCCAAATTCACGAGTGTGCCTGACATGCAGCAGCCTAAGACACTCTCGAACGTCTTCTCTGAACCTCCGTGTCCGTCCGCATGGCCACACGTCTTTCAAAGTTGCTTATGGCCAAGATTGCCGAGGCTACAATTCCTCGCGCGGGCGTAGCTCGGTTAATAGCCGAATGCGGAGATGGAGTGACACCGCAGACTGCGGATCCAGACCAGCACTTCGTGCGCATCGATTGGCAGAAAAAAATGCTGTTCAAGCTGCCTCGAGGTGCAGCTGTGCTCCGCCTTGGGTTGCGAGCTCCCTTCGGCTTGCAGGCCAGCTACGTTGCCGCGGTGCCACCAGCAGATGTGGAAATGACCGATGCGGAGAAAGGTGCAGCAAAGGACCGGCAGTCTGCCCCTGCTCCGGCAGCCAGTCCCGTCTTGCGGCAGGAGGTGGAAATCAAATTTCCCCAGCTCAGCAAGCCTTATGCCCCTGAGCTGGAAGCACCGGCCTCGGCAACTTAAAACACGAAGAGTCAGAGCCATGACGAAGCTCAGGCTTTTGCCGTCCTCATACTGGTAGTGAAGCTTTCAGACAAGCGAGACGACAAGCAGAAGGCACACTGCAGGGCTCAAGTCTAGGCTTCAACGGTAGTGGCCCGTGTCACCCGCGCCGCAGGCGATGGAAGTCGCGAGTGCCATGGTGCTCTGGTTGAAAACGCCCGAACCCTGACTTCTCTGTAATAGCACAGTACACACACCTCTGCGAGTCTAGCAGCTTCATGCGCAAGGCTCAACCGCCGCACTCTGGATCTCTTCAATGCGAGGGCGTGCTCTGAAACTGTTTTCGTCGGAGGTCCTTGGAAGCACAGCGGGGAGCCGGGCACTGGCAATCGCGGGAGGTACTTCTATCTGTCGCTTGCGTACGAGAGATGTGGACGGTTGTCCGAGCCACGACCCTGGAGCTTGCATCATTGGCATCTCTCTGGAAACAGTGGCAGAGGTGTGTGTGTCTGTCTGTCTGTCTCT